TACCCCATGCCCCTCTGCACCATGTCATTGTCCAGTTACACCAGTACCCCATACCCCTCTGCACAAGGTCATTGTCCAGTTACTGTAGAGGCTAGAACAAGCTTATTCCTCAGGTGTGAATGGAGGTATCCAAAGATTTGTTCTATGCGGCTGGACAATGATACAATTGTCGTTCGTCCCCCCCACCCCCCAGGTCTGGTTATAAATCAGGGTTAAGCTTTTATTTACCAGCCCTCTAGCCTGAATTAGCTTTTCCCAGAAAACCACCAACCCTGGTCCCTGGGGCTGCACAAACCTCGCCAGCTGAGTGCCAGCCCCTTGGGGAGAATGCAAGAGAAAGCCATCCCATCACTCCCCCATTCTGACACACATAAAGGGTTGTTTTCTTCCCCCCCCCCCACCCACAGCCACCAGGGCATGGGCAGAGGTAGGGGCAGGTGGCTGTAGAGGTGTCTGGCTATCCAGCCACCTTTCCAGCCATTCACTGTACATCTCTACATCTATCCAGATCTCTCCTCTTCTGTCCATCTCTCTTTCTTTACTGTCCAGCCTTCTCTCTGCCTTTCTCTGTCCTTCTACCAATTCACCTCTGACTTCCTCTCTTTCTCCACATCCATCCTTCTCTTTCTCTGACTCCCCCCCTCTATTTCCATCCACCCATGCCTAGCCTCTGTCAGCCCACACACATTCAGTAACTCTCTCTCTCTCATCTCTGGCTTTTCTAATGTTCCCAGCACTGCAGTCTCTGGGCTTTCAGGAGTCCCTTCCCACTGAGACAGGCTTTGGGCATCCCCACCCAGCTGGGGCACATGTAGTTTGAGGCTCTGTCTCATCCTCAGACCTCTCACTTGCACACAGAGCAGGTCTGGTTGCCTGGATGGGGGGACTCCATGACTGTACTACACTGGCTCTGAATGCCCAGCTGATGCCTGCATTTGTCCCATTCTCCTCCCAGTAAGACCCCTGGAACCCAGCAGCAGGTGGGGTGATACCTGTGTCCTCTCAGTTTCCAGAGTCAGAGGTGGATGTGCTGCCCCACAGCAGGGGGACAGCGTTAGCTGATCTCCTCCCCCCCCCCAACCCCATAGGCATTCAGCCCCTCAGCCTGGGGCTGCCTCCTCCCTGGGCTCTGCAAGCACGCAGGGGGTCTCAGCCCAGTGGAGCGGGGACTGTGGCTAAGACTCTGCCCTGGCATTGGAGGGTCTGATCTGCCCGAGCTGCCCAGGCAGGAGCGGTCTGGGGAGAGCAGAGCCGGAGGTGAATGGAGGTGAGTCTGGGGAGAAGGGGGTTTGAAATAGGCAGATCGAGGGAGTGGGGAAGGGAACAGCGCAATGAATGGAGACAGACTGACCAGGGGAGATATGATGATTAGGATGGATGGATGTTTCCTGCCACATCTCCAAAATATGGGTTGTTGCCAGCATGGGTTTATCGATAGCACAGACGCTGTGGCCCCAATCTGAACTTGGATTCACCCGCACCAATGGCTGGACAGAGCCTTGGAGGGAGTCCAATGGGTGCGTGGAACTCCAGTGGTGGATCTCACTGAAGGATCTGGACTAGTTCTTCTTTCTATCTCTGCTAAAGTTTTCTTTCTCCCTCACAATCTCTCTCTCGGGCAGTTCCTCAGTGGGTGCCAACAAATTATATTATGGTTGAACCTAGAAGCCACAACAGAGATGGGGGCCCTGTAGTGTCAGGCACTGCCCAGACACATGGGGGAGAAAGTCTCTGCCTCAGCTGAGATCAGTGCTCCGTTTTTGCAGGCATTGCACAGACTCAGAGTGAGAAAAAGTCACTGCCCCAGATGAGATCAGGGCCCCATCGTGCCTGGAGCTGCACAGACACACAGCAAGAGACAGGCCCTGCCCAGCTAAGATCTGGGCCCCATTGTGCCAGGCATTGCACAGACACACAGTAAATGAGGGACACACAATCCATGCCCCAATTTAAGTAGGCAAGACAGATAAATGGCGGGTGAAAAGGAAGATTATTGTTCTCACTTTACAGATGGGAACCCAGACTCAGAGAGATGAAGTGACTAGCCCAAAATCATTCGGTCAGTCTGTGTCAGTGCTGGGTACTGAAGCCAGCTCTCCAGAGTCCTCAGCCCAGGACTTCCCCCTCCCCTCCCGACTCATCCTTGTGGGTTAAGTCTCCCCCTCACTCTCACTCCCTCTCCTTACTCTCTTCTAGATTCTTCCCTTGTCATCATTCCACTTGTGCTCCCGTCACCCCAGGGCCATCACTACATTGAGAGGGACTGAGGGTAAATTGGGCAGACAGCAATTGCCAGGTTCGTTGTTTTCTCATCACTCCCCCAACCCCTCTCCAGTTCTCGATAGCCAACAAGCTAATGAGTTTAATTAATGGCTCTCAGCTGTGCTGCTGAGGAGTCTATTTCATTTCTACTTATCTCCAGTCCTTGTCTTTATCTTTCTGGCCACAAGCCGTTTTTTAAAAGAACACCCAAACAGCATTGCTCTCTGACAACCATCACCAATTGTATCTTCCCCGCATCTTCTTTCTCACTCAGACTTCTCTTCCTCGCCTTCTTCCCTTCCAAGTCTCACATGTATGGATGTAACTACTTATTCGGAGGTATAAAAGCCTCAGTAGGTGCCCATGCTCCTGCCAGAGAGTCCAATGTATTTGTAAAATTCTTAGCCCTTTTGGGTGACACTGATAGAGTTAGAGGAGGGAAGGAGAGAGGTGGGAGAACAGGAATGAAGATGAAAGTGAGGGTGGGGGAAAGTTGAAAATGTACAGCCTGCGGAGAGAAGAGACTGAATGAGGATGTGATGAATGCTAGATACGTACCATGTTTGGTGTCATATTGACCAGTGTCTTAGAAATGCAGACAGACAAGGTGGGTGAGCTGATATCTTTTATTGAAGCAACTTCCGTTGGTGTGAGAGACAAGGTTTTGAGCTTACACAGAGCAGGGAAATGTACTCTGAGTATCACAGCTAAGTACAAAGAGGAACAGAAGCCTAAATAGTTAACACATATTTCAAAGGACAGTTCAAGGTAAAGTTGCCAGTTAACACCTCTCCCATCATGTAGGGGAAGGAGCAGAGGGAGAAGCTGGAGGAGGGGGCTCAGCGGATCACAGATTCCTGTAATAAGCCACAAATTCAGTATCTCTGTTCAGTCCATGATTTTTAGTGTGCAGCAAAGTTATGAATTTACAACACATACTTGATGGGGTCCATATCCTGAAAGAAATCCTTCCTGAGTCCCTTCTTCTCGTGCTCAACCTCCCCCCCTCAACCTCGCCAAGCTCAGCTTGAGAAGCAAGCTCCCCACCGACCTTGACACATCAACTCAAAGCAACACCAGACCCTGCCAAAGTAACAGATGCAAAACCTGCAGCCCCATCTCCACTGCTATGATGATCAAAATCCATGGGTCCTACACACGCCTATCACAACACGTGCTGTACCTCATCCAGTGCACTAAATGCCCCAACAATGGCTTTGTGGGTGAAATCAGACAATCACTATGCTCTCAAATGAACTCACACAGGAAAACAAGAAAAGACAAAAACACCCTGTCACTGGTGGGTGAACACATGATCACTCTATATGTGACCTCTCAGTCCTCATCCTCAACAGAAACCTGCACAACACCTTCAAAAGATGAGCCTGGGAGCTTAAATTCATAACTCAGCTAGACACTAAAAATCATGGACTGAATAGAGATAAAACCTATATCCCACTAACCACGCCCCCTTTCACTTATTTCCCTCTCTACTTTCCCCCCATGACTAGAGGCATGTTACAGGGCACTTCACCCTTAATGGTCCTTTGAAATATGTTTTAACTTCTTGTGCTAAACAATCTGTTCCACCTTGTATTTAGCTGTGACACTTTGAGTACATTTCTCAGACCTGACACTTTGAGTACATTTCCCAGACCTGAAGAAGAGCTCCATGTACGCTTGAAAGCTTGTTTCTCTCACAAATGGAAACTGCTCTGTTAGACTGGATTTGAGGGGTGTGTGTACCCCAGAATGTGTTCAAGCTAATTGCAACCATATTATGTGCATTCAGCCACTCTGACTTAATAAAATAGAAAACCACATAGTTAAGGGTTAATTGGAAAACAGGCTTTTAGAGGCAAGGTGAAAACTAGCTGGTAGTTTCTTCTAATTAGAATGAGAGTCGGGGAAAGAAAAGTCAAGAAGTGAGACTCAAAACCTTGGTGGATGGATGACCTGGAGTCTGGGCACCTCTGATATTAGAAGTTTATTGAAAGTTAGGAAAAGTGATGTTTTTGTAGAGGCCATTATGACCTATGTGTTTTGTAGAAGTTAGTTATAAAAGATTAGTGAATACAGTGGATTCTGGAGCAGTTCTCTGAAGCCATTTTGAGAGAGGTTTTTCTTGACACCTTTTCTCCCCAGTGGATAAGCAACTGGCCACTGAGAACCCACTGCTAATTACTCAATACCATTCCAGATTTTAGGTAAATATCTGGGATGCTCTAAACCTATTGCTTATGTCTGTATGTGCTTAAATCTAATAAACTGCAGGTTTAGATAGAGCCCGCTTACTTGTATTAATCTTTCATCAGGCAGAATTGCTGTATTCCCATTGATTTATTCCTGACACCACCTGGAGTGAAACAATTAAGTTGCCCCTGCTGTGGGTTCTGAAAACCGTAGGTAACAGGTCCAAAAAAAAAGATATTACCTCATCCGCTTCCTCTCTCCAATATCCTGGGACCAACCCGACCACAACAACACTGCAGACAGACAGAAGAGAGATTTCCCTGACCTTTGCATAAATGTATGCAGTGCTGCAGGTGGGTCAGTCCCAGGATATTATAGATTCAAGCCTTTCCCTAATCCATTCACTTATCACTTACCTGTCTTCTAGGATTAAAGGCTACGATTCCAAAAATACCCACTGCCAATCCCAGCGCTAGCACCTATTATCACAAGTCTCCTTGCTGCGGGATATTTTTCACCCTTATTCTTTCTGGCCACTACAGGTGATGAGTGGCAAAGGGGCATGGGAAGATGGAAACCAAAGCTCCTTGGGGCAATTCATCCTGCTAGGGGTGTCTGACCGGCCACAGTTGGAGCTGCTGCTCTTTGTGCTCATCTTAATCTCCTACAGCATGACCTTGCTTGGAAACACCACCATCATCGTGGTCTCATGGCTAGACCCCCATCTCCACACGCCCATGTATTTCTTCCTCAGCAACCTCTCTTTCCTGGACCTCTGCTACACCACCAGCGTTGGTCCCCAGATGCTGGTGAACTTCCGCAGTGCCCACAAATCCATTTCCTTGGCCGGCTGCGTGGCCCAGCTCTACATCTCCCTCTCTCTGGGTTGCACTGAGTGCCTCCTGCTGGCTGTCATGGCCTACGACCGCTATGCCGCTGTCTGCCAGCCGCTGCGCTACACAGCCATCATGAGCCGCCGCCTCTGCCTGCAGCTGGCGGCCACTGCCTGGTTGTGTGGCTTCAGCAACTCCATGCTGCAGACCATCCTGACTCTGCAGCTGCCCCGGTGTGGGCAGAACCAAATCGAGCACTTCCTCTGTGAGCTGCCAGCCCTGCTCAAGCTGGCCTGTGTCGACACCTCTGCCAATGAGGCTGAGCTCCTTGCCAGTGCATTTTTCTTTCTGCTGGTGCCACTAGGCCTCATCCTGGTCTCCTACGGCTACATCGGCACCGCCGTGATGAGGATTCACTCGGTGAAGGGCAGGCTCAAGGCCTTCAACACTTGTACCTCCCATTTAGCCGTGGTGTCACTCTTCTATGGCACGGCCATTTCCATGTATCTACAGCCTCCGTCCAGCTACTCACAGGACCGAGGCAAGATGGTCTCCCTCTTCTACACCATGGTGACCCCCATGCTCAACCCCTTCATCTACACGCTGAGGAACAAAGAGGTGCATGGGGCCCTGTGTAGGGTGCTGGGGAGGATCCCGACCACCCAGGGGACCTGAGCTGGGTAAGCAATTGGCACAGAACCATCTGTACCTCTCATGACTACTGTAACCTCTTCTGTGTCCATGTGGAGCCTTCTGCCTTCCCTACAGCACCAGTCCTCTCCATCCACACAAACCCTCTGTCCTCTCCCACCCCACAGAACAAACCTGCCCTACCCGACACCCAACCTGTCTGGCCTCTCACCCCACACAACCCCTCTGTCACCCCACATGGCCCCCTTGCCCTCTGCTTTGCAATACAAACAAGCACCATCCTAGCTGCGCCTCTAGGAACAATCCCTCCTCTCCTGCCTGAAGAGATTATTCTTATTGCTGTCTATTGCAGTTGCAAAGAGGATCAGACTCAGATTAGGGTTGTACCAAGCGCCGCACAGACACACAGCGAGAGGCAGTCCCTGCCCCAGCTGAGATCAGGGCCCCATTGTGCCTGGCGCTGCACATACACTGAGAATCAGTCCCTGCCCTAGCTGAGATCCAGGCCATGTTCCGTGAGACAGGAAGATATATAAGTTCAATGCCTTCTGAAAAAAACTATTGGACATCACAATCAGGGCTGGCTCCAGGGTTTTTGCCACCCCAAGCAGGGGAAAAAAAAAAAAAAGCCGCGATCGCGATCAACTCTACCGCCGCCACTTCAGTCTTTGGCGGCAATTCGGTGGCTGGTCCTTCGCTCCGAGAGGGAGTGAGGGACCCGCCGCCGAATTGCCGCCGAAGAGCTGGATGTGCCGCCCCTCTCCATTGGCTGCCCCAGGCACCTGTTTGCTGGGCTGGTGCCTGGAGCCGGCCCTGATCACAATTGAAGACTGGATTGAGTCAGTGAAGGCAGCTCTATGGGTGTTGAGAGTACCTGAAGAAGATCATGTGGATTTTGTGGAAGAACATCTCAAAGGCCAGGTCAGATCCACAGTGAAGTTCATGGCAACAGCTGATAAGCCAGACGTAGAGAAGACATTTCAGATTCTCTTAGAAGTGTATGAGACAAAGTAACCATTGGAACCAGACTCAAAGAATTCTATGAGCTGACACAGAATCCAGGTGGGACCATTCGGGCCTACTCATATGAGCTCTAGGAGAGAATGAGCCAGGTGAAACATTGGGACCTACAACAAGTTCTGGACATGGATATGGTCCTGAAAGTATAGTTAGTGCTGGGGCTCCGGGATGATTCCCTCCACTGTAAAATGAAGAAGAGGTTTAAAGAAGAGCCCAGTAAGAATTTCCATGAACTCGTGTAAGCTGCCATTACATGATCTGAATTAGAGCAAGTTCCAGTGGAAGAGATGGCCAAGCCCAACCCGCATACACAAAGTGGAGGCCTAGGTAAAGGAAAAAGATTCTTCCCCAAACACAGTTAATGCTGGAAAGTTTGAAAGAAGCTGTCCAGAAACTGGCCGGCTAACAGGGGGAGATGCTGAAAATGATGACTGAGATCATGAAAGATAAAATCTCCCCTAGGACGCCAAAATATCAAAGGGCACTGGGATCCTGAAAATCCCCACCTTAAAGGCACCTGATTTTCAGAAGGCAAGTGCTCTGGGCTCCCTGAAAAACAAACATTTAAAAATCATGTATCATGCTCCAAAAATCGTGAGATTGTCTTTAAAATTGTGAGATTTAATTACATTATAACTGTTGGGTTCTTTTTCTTTGCCTTCCAGTTTCTGAGATTTAGATCACACTTGTGTCATGTTCTGGGGTTTTTCTCCATCTCCATGAGGGCTAGAAATGTTTCTTTTTAATTGTAAGCACATTTTTCCAGGTGCTGCAGCTTTCAGGAGAAGATGTAGCACTGTGAGACTTTCGTTGGCAACACTGCATCAAATCAGATACCTAAAATCATCAGTCACTTTTGTAAATCTTGGTCCATATGCCTGTCTAGTAGCCTGACCCTCACTAACTACAACAGTTTGTTACTGAAGCACAGCCAAGGAAGTTGCGCTTTTGGTTCAATCTTCCCTTTATGCTCTGATATCTCTGGGTAGAATTGTCATTCACTGACTTTGCCTGTAGCGGCCGACCTCACCTCTGCAACCTGAAGGCTGAATGCCTGAGTTAATAAATATGCCTCCAGCTTCACTTCATTCTCTGGGCTCTCCGTTCTGACTGAAGTTTTAGATAGCTAGACCAGCAGGTTAGGAGGCTGGATAGGTAGATATATTTTACTGAGACAAGGTTAGTGAGATAATATCTTTTATTGGACCAACTTCTGTCGAGCTACACGGAGAAGTTAGTCCAATAAAAGATATTACCTCATCACCTTCTCTCTCTAACATCCTGAGACCAACATGGCTACAACAAAACTGCAAACAACAGGTAGGTACATAGATAGATAGAGGGGGTGTATGAGGATAGATAGATACATAGATAGATAGCATCAGGATTTAGACCGATAGGTATTCAGTTTATTTTTAAGTCTGGAAAGTGCCTAGTTATTTGCCCAGCACAGACACCTAAATGGAACAGAATGCTAGGATATAGACACATGTCTGAGCCAGTCCCCTCAACCTGGGGCTGGATCGGAACCGGAACCCCCTAGAGAAAAAGAGGCCCCATATCGCATTCCTAGATCACTGCTGAGCTCATGGTTTTTAAAACGTCTTGGCAGGAGGAGATTCAGCACCATTGCCTGATGGTTTCATCCCTGGTTTACACTGGAGGTCAGGGAGGGAAGGATCAGTTACACTGGACAGTGTGGGCATGTTTTTGCAGAGGTGGCATTTCCTAAGGTGTAAGTCAATCATGGACTGATAGGGGTTAGTGAGAAATTTCCCAGCTGTCCACGAAGCGTGTGGTGACACTTCATCTGAAGCTGGGACTGGCCACCGTTGACGATGGGGACTGGAAGGACCCAGGTGGGATCCAGTCTGGGGACTGGTATATTCCTGTTAGTTGTCTTTGTGCTACGCTTCTCCCCAGCACATGTAACGCTCCCCGAGGTTGGATCCCTCTTGACACACTTTGAGTCACTTCTCAACCTGGCATTGAAAAAAATGTTAATGGCCTGTCTGGCCCCACTGTGGGCTCGTCACCATTTTGTCACAAATAGCAAGCGTTTTTAATAAGACCCAGAGTCCCCTCTTGATGCAGCCTCCAGCTGTGAGTGGGAGCCGACGTGCTAACAATGCCTGGCATGCTGCCTCCCGACACCTAATGAAGAGCCCTGGAGCAACAGCACCCCACGCCGGGGGCCTAACTTCTCAGGGGGTGCTCCCAGACCTTCCCCTGTTGCAGGCAGGGGCTGGATCTCTCTGCACGGAGCTGCCATGGAACTGATTGAGGTGACACAGTGGAGAGTCCAGGGCTCACCAGCTAAGGGCTGGGACAGGAAGGAGAAAGGCTTGACTGAGATCACAGAAATTATCCACTGGGGCAAAAGTCCTCCCCGCCGCCTGTGCCAGACAGATCACTGGCCAGCTAGTCCAGAACTCCATTTCCCTCTGCCCCAGATCAGTGGCCAGCTAGTCCAGTACCCCATACACCCCTGCCCCAGATCACTGGCCAGCTAGTTTATTTACTCTGCAATGAATGAGGCCATTGGCCCTTCTCGCCCTGTAGGTCAGCTGCCTCCAGCCTCCACACAAATTCATAGGCTCACAAACCCCACCCGATAATAGCTGATCAGATTTGTTCTCCACTTGCTGTCCGAGAGTACCTGATGAAGGAATATGCAAATATTCTGCTCTCCATTGTATGGAAGGGGAAACTGAGGCTTGGGGGGGCAGATGAGACTTGACCAAAGTCAGGGTGGAAGTGGGAAGAGAACCATGGGACCCTCATGCCCAGTCCAGCAGTCTAACCACTAGACCACACTGCCTTGCAGAAGGGCATACTTATCGGACTCAGGCCTGGACTATCCAATGTGCACTAGGTACACTTGCCCAGGGCCACCTGCAACTCTATGTACCAGGTTAAAACATCACTCACTCAGATTTAGCCCATCCCTCCCACCCTTTATCACCCCTGTCACAATGGAGGGTTTGGCATGGGATCATGTGAGTGAGGGCTGGGTGGTGGGAGGAAGCGGAGTTGGATGGCCAGGTTGGGGAGAACTTCCCTTCTCTCAGGATGGGAAAAAACTGCTGAGCCAGGGGATGCGCCGGTGAGTGGCCAGGAGGTGCCCAGTGGCGTTGAGTGAGGAGCTGCGGGTGAGTTTGGGGGTGAGTTGGGAGTGTTGGGGAGGGGCAGGAGGTGAGTGGGGAATGCTGGGGGCTGTGAGGGGAGTTGTGGAGGGGAATTGGGGATGCTGGTGATAATGGGGAGAGTGTGGAGGCTATGGAGGGAATGGGGAATGTTGGGAAGTGGGATGAGTTGGGGAGGAATGGGGGTGTTGGGGGGTGGGGTGGGATGGGGGGCTGGGATTGTAGAGACTGTGCCCGGGGAGGGGGCTGAGATGTTTGGGGATGCAGTGAATGGGATGCATGTCAGGGCTGCTGGGTGTTGACAACAGGGGGCGCTATGACCCCTGAAATGGATCTTTAATGGCTTCCGGTGGAGCAGATAACTGTCATACCAGTGAAAAAGGTCCACAGTAATTATCTTCAGTACACAGCAGTTTATTGAGACGGAATTACACAAGCGGTAAAGGGTTATATTAAGCACCTAACTCCTATATTAGACATTAAGAGCTATACATTCCTCTTAATGAGTCTCTCTCTCACAAACACACACAAACAGGCCCTGTATTAGCCTCACACAGTTTCTGCCTAGCAAACAGGGAAGGTGGTTGCCAATTTTATAGATGGCTTCTTCTCTCCTGGTCTGTTCTTCTCAGACCTTTGGTCTGTCTCGGATTCCCTCGAAGCAAGGCCTTGGTCGCCTTGAGACACCTCTGGTTCACAGTCCTACTCAAGTTCACGAAGCAGAGTTTTGTCTACTCTGTCTGGCAGCATTGCTTCTTCAAGAGTCAATTAAGGAATCCCAACCACAGTAATTTACTTTGCTTGATTCTTATACTCATTTTCCTCAGAGGAGTCATATGTCTTAAAAGCATGCCCAGT